CTTTATGGGGTCTATGACAAATATTCAGAAGTGTTACAAACGGAATGACAAAATTAATATACCCTTTCTAAGGTGAATGGTATAAAAACATGGAATGGTCTTCTGGCGATCGTAATTTGCTAAAAATTAATGATTTGTAATATATACTGATTGTTCGAGCGGAGGAATACAAATATGACAATATCTGAGTTTTAGGAAATTAATACAGTATTTACAACCTCAAAAAATTAACAAAAAAAACAACAAACCTTGATATTTGGAATGATTTTTAAGTAGTTAAATTATGTATCCCAACATCTTCAATCACTTTTATCAAAAGGATTTCTTATGTGCAAATATCTTACCACAAATTACAGTGGTGTAACACTTCTTTATGCAAGGGAATTAAATAAGAAACTAGATTTTGATGTATTAGGAAAGTTCTAGATCAGTTAATCTACTAATTTATATTCTTAGTATATTAAAAACAAAATATATGGGGTACAATTATCAATCCAAACTTACCTCATAAACAATTCACATGTTTTTATCTATTATAGAGGATAGTATCAAACATAATAATGGGTTTAATATATCTCTATTAAAATAAGAGAACTAAACGATGATACATTAACGAAAGTCATTATGCAGTAGATCGGCCACAATTTATAGACTAACCGGATCTGGAAAGTCGTTCGAACTTATGCATATTTTCAGTAGTTCGCTCCGCAATAGAATTAATTTTTATTGACTAATTTATTTATTTATCAAATTCATTTCCAGAAATTGTAGTTCTGACCACTTATGGCGGGAATTGAACTTTTGTCATTGAAACATTTCTATTTAAATTCCAATTTATCTTGCTTATATATGAAAGGTTTGAATAAATTCAAATGCGAATCAGATAAAAACGTGTTGATATGCGGAAAATAAGCTATGGGCGAAAAACTAAAATGCATTTTAAAAAATGAGAGTTAAATAGAATTATATACACCTCATTAATTTATTATAAAAATTTTTGGCTTTTATCAAAATCTAAATATTTATTATTTTAGTTTCTTGCTCAAATATAGTGACATATTTCAATCCAAAATTTTATAATTTAGAATAAGATGTTTTCTGATTACTAATATGTATTCTTGAAACCAAATTAAGCTATATTTTTCCGAAATTCCGTGGGAGTTGGTTTGTTGTGTCGCGTCTCCAGTATACGGGGCTATGACACCATGATTATTACAGCGATGTTATTATTTTGGCAAAAATCTCTATCGGTTTTATTAAGCCGCAGACGATGAAAGTGAGGAAACGGAACCATTTTGAAATCGTTGTTTAACACATCAAATGGTAGTATAAGATTTGTGTGGTAAGCTGCTCTTAAAGGTTTCTTGTTCGCGGCATTTTCATTACGAAAATGTATACATTTAAGCGAGTTTCCCAAATTTTAAAATCTAAACCAAGGCCCATATTAGGTTGCGAAAAAAGAGTTGATTTTTCTTGAATTACAAATTACAATTACGTATTTTGCATTGTAGAAGTGTACATATAGATATATCAGCACTTATGAACACTAGTATGTCAAAAATATGAGCTTGTTATAATATATTCAACAAACTGAATTAATATATTATAATACCCTATATCCATGGTACAATAAGGAGGTAGAACAGCTTCGCAAAACCATTTTATTGTACCATGCCTACCTATGTGTTGGGTATCTCGCCGAGCTGAGTTGATCTAGCTATGTATGTCCGTCCGTCTGTCCATATTAATTTGTAATCAAGCTAGAGGTCACAATTATGGCCCGATCTTCACCAAATTTAGAACGGAGGTGGGGCTAGGGCCAGAATTGAAGCATAATATTAGGGCCAGAATAGAAGCATAATATGATCGCATAATATTTTGGGGTTGAAATGGACAGAAGCCTTCCAATTTTGATGGTCATCGGGTAATATTTAGTGGGTGAAATATTCCATATCATTTGCGTTAAATAAAAGACAAATATTTCATAAAACCGCGAATATTTTTAATCCCGGAGAAATCACAAATAGACGAACAGGTCAATTCTGACGGTTACGTAATTCTTTCCGTTACATATAACGAAATATATACAATGAATACATACAAAGTAAGGGGATGTTAGCTAGATTGCTTATATCTCAAGTAAGGCTGGACCGATTTTGACAAATTTTGTCACTTCAGAATGTCCAATTGGAATAAAAGTATAACATCTAAAAAATCGCTTAAAAATATGCCAGTAATGATGTTTTAAATTTTTTATCGCATGCTATTTTTTTCAATTTGACTTATAATATTGAAGTGCATATTTTGTAATATTTTTTCACCTTATGGAATTATTATATACAGATTGCAATTATCGTCCGATCTTCACGAAAATTTTCACAAGGGTAGGGTTAGGCTCAGAAGGGTAAGGCTATAGGGCAAATGCCCCTGGTGAAAAAAAAACTATGAGTAATATCTGGGCAGTGCTCTATGACATAATTTCAAAAGCGAAATCTTCCAATATAGATTTAGACATAAAGGGGGCTTCTAACATATTGTAGTGTTGTATCACATGGTCGGCCCGCACCACTGTAACCTTTACTTGTTTGAACTAAAAATGTCATCAAAATACCGAATATCGGGAGGTACCGTTATACGACATCTATACGAAAACAAATCCATGGAAAAATGTAGCGAAAATCGTCAAAATACCGTATATTGGTAGGTACTGTTATATGGCCCGTGGACCGATGGTCACTACCAACCATGCTAGATAATACAAATTCTTGGGTAACATTTTGAAGCTCTACGCTGTGCTGTATCGTGATTCCAACACACAGACGAGGACTTCGAATTTTATGCTGATTATGAATATATATACTTTAGGGCGTGACAAAGCTAATATACCCTCCTTAACAAGGTGGCAACTGGGTTTTGCTTATTTTTATACCCTCCACCATTCTATGGAGGGTATATTAACTTTGTCATTCCATTTGTAACTCCTCGGAATACTAATGTCAGAACCCAACAAAGAATAAACATTCTAAGTCGATTTAGCGATGTACGTCTGTCTGTCTGTCAGGCGATTTGTCTCTATGTCTGTTGTAATCACGCTATCTTTCGAACGAATTGAGATAGAAGGCTAAAATTTTGCACACATGTTTATTTTGCCAGCAGCCAGGTTAAGTTCGTATATATATATATATATATATATATATATATATATATATATATATATATATATATATATATATATATATATATATATATATATATATATATATATATATATATATATATATATATATATATATATATATATATATATATATATATATATATATATATATATAGCCTATATAACGGTACCTCCCGATATTCGTTGTTTTATATTTATTTTGATAATTTAAACGACATTATTCACTGGGATTGTTTCAAATTTGGTATTTGAATTTCGTAATGGATACTACAGCCTAGGACAGAAAATTGTCTGTGCAGGTCCACGTCTTCGTATAGCCCAAATATATAACGGTACCTCCCTATATTCGGTATTTTGATGATTTTAGCGATTTTATAACAAACAATGCCTAGGTTAGTCCACGTCGTACAGACCCTAATATAACGGCTATATTCGGTATTTTTAAGATTTTACAAAATTTTTAACAGATTTTATTCTTTGAAAATGTCCAAATTCGTCCAAATGGTGGAGGGTATTCAAAGTTTGGCTCGGCCGAACTTACTGCTTTTTAACTTGTTTATTTTTATGAAGAATTTTCTCAAGGTTACCAGAATTAAATTATTGACAATTATGGGATAAATTAATGGTTTCTTCAAAGTGTTATACCTTTCCATTTTGGTAGTTAATATAGTCAGATATTACAATAACTTCACCTGTTGGTGATTTTAAATATAATCAGAAAAAAAGTGTAAACTCTACAAAAGCCAAAGTCATAATAAACAAGTAAAAAAACATTAAGTTCGGCCGGGCCAAACTTTTAATACCCTCCACCCTAGGGTAAAAGAACAGTAGAAGAAATGTGGCAAAAAAACATTAAAATGCCGAATATCGGGAGGTACCGTTATATAGGGGCTACACCAACACGTGCACCTATAATTACAATGTTTCGCCACACGAACTAGGACCCATTATGACCCACAAATACCAACTTTTACACAAATCAGTGAAAAAATGTGGCATAAATCATCAAAATACCGAATATCGGGAGGTACCGTTATATGGGGACTATACCAGAACGTGGACCTATACATGCAATGTTTTGCCACACGCTCAGGGACCCGTTGTGACCTACAAATACCAATTTTCAGACAAATCCGTGAAAAAATGTGGCATAAATCATCAAAATACCGAATATCGGTAGGTACCGTTATATGGGGGCTATACCAAAACGTGGACCTATACATGCAATGTTTTGCCACACGCTCAGGGACCCGTCATGACCAACAAATACCAATTTTCAGATAAATCCGTGAAAAAATGTGGCATAAATCATCAAAATACCGAATATCGGGAGGTACCGTTATATGGGGACTATACCAGAACGTGGACCGATATATCTCATTTTCAATACCAACCATCCTAGGGACAATACACATACTTGTGCCGAATTTCAAAGGTCTACGTCAAATAATGTGGGCTCTATCGTGATTTCAACAGACAGACAGACGGACAGACAGACAGACAGACGGACAGACAGACAGACAGACAGACAGACAGACAGACAGACGGACATCGCTAAATCGTCTTAGAATTTTATGCTGATTATGAATATATATACTTTATGGGGTCTACGACGAATATTGAGAGGTGTTACAAACGGAATGACAAAGTTAATATACCCTCCTACCCATGGTGGAGGGTATAAAAATAGCACCCGCATATATAATGATAGAAAGCATAATGCAAGCAAAGTTAAGAGCTTATGCTGCTACACTGATAATTAATATACGCTCAGCATCAATTATAATTTCCTAGAATTCACAAACAATGAAACAACAGGAGGTTATTTAAATATGTATATATTTTTATGTAAATATTTTATTTGTTCGCTAAATGCGGCCACAACGATCCACATTAAAACGAATCCATTTGGCAAATAGTAATCAAATGAAAACGCTTAAAATACAATAATACAAATAATATTAACAAATAACAGCAAATGGTCGTCAATCATGAAGGGATAATTATAATTAACGAAAAAAAAAAAAAAATAAAAAAAAGGAAAAAATAATAATTAAAACAAATAAACAACATTAACTAAATGTGAAACAATTATGAATCCGACATTCAGTTATTATATTAAATTAAGCAAACCAACCAACAAAGCGGGACTTTAAATGACAATCAATTTCACTTTTGTCTGCAATGACAGTGAAATCGATTCATCTTCCCATTTTTACAGCGTTTTGTTGCCACCGACGTGATAAATGTTGGCTAATTAAATTAATTAGTGGTAAAACAATAGAGAGTTGCAGATGCGGAAGAGGGGACAGATAGAAGAAGAAGACATCATTGCTATTGTATAACAATGAAATGGCAATCAGTCATAAAGGCCTCAATATTCAATTAACACCTTTTATAGTTTGACAATAGGTGGCAAATATTTGCTTAGATTCGCCGATGATGACGACGATGCTGAGCTGCCAGAGGACAGTGTCGATGTACTGCTGCTACCACTGCCGACCGATTGCTGTGCTGAACCGTTGGAACTTTGACCATCCAGGGATCCAATGACAGAGGTGACGGGAGCAATACCTTCATCCGAGACTTGTGTGGTACCACCGAGTTGGTCGTATTGGGCTGTGGTTTTGAGGGAGAAACAACAAATATTAAAATAATTTGTATTTTCAAATTAATGGCAAATTCACGAATCACTTCGATCAATGCTAGGTTTGGATTATTTTTATGGTCATTTTGAACTGATTTGAAATGATATTGTTTTTTTTTGTGTTTGCTGAATTAATTTGTTGTCAAGTTCATTCATTTGCTTTTGTATGATTCTAGTTTAGCAAAAAAAACCACCATAAAAATAAAAATGAATCGAATGATGAAATAAATAAATAAATGTGAATTTTATGCAAATCATAAACGAGACAGATAAAAATCTCTGTCGCCGTCGTTTCTAACCTTGAATTGTACGCTGAGCATGTTGGGCCTCTTCCTGTGTCTTATATTTGATGAAATATACTTCCGGTTTGCTGGGCTGTTTGGGTTGAGCTTCCTGAATGGCAGCTTGCAAGTCCAAAGGATCGGGTTTCTTGGTGAGGACATAAATGATGGTCTTCTCTTCAACGGGGGCTTGATTAATGCGCACGGTTGCCTTGTTGGCGTTTTGAGATGGTGTCTTGATGAAAACAATGCGATAATGTTTGCGGGGTGGCAATGGTGGCAAGTTTTGTTGTTGCTGCTGGGATTCGGCACCACCATCTTCGGGAGCAACATGAACGTAAATATCCTTGGTTACAGTCGATGGGGATTGGAACGATTGTTGTTGTGGTTGCTGTTGATATGATTGATATTGGGCCGGTGCTTGTTGTTGGGACACAACATTACTAACAAACGCAGGTTGTTGCTGTTGTACCTGAGAGTAGCTAGCCGTTTGCTGTTGACCGAATTGTGGTGCTGCAGAGAATTGTGGGGCGGCAGAGAATTGAGTTTGCTGTTGTGTTTGTGTGGTTGCACCTTGTCCTCCCAGCAAGCTATTTTGTAAATGTGCCTTTTTCAGGGCCTCTTGCAAAATGGCTGTGTGATTGATTTCACCTAAACTACCGGCCACTCTGTTGGTGTTGTAACTAACCGAACTTTGTTGGGTCTGTTGGTAGTTGTATCCCTGAGGTGCAGCCAGGGCTGTTGCACAGAGGCAGAGTACCTATAGATCAAATAGAGGAAAATTAAGTAATTGTTTCGATAAAAGAAAAAATAAGGAAAGCATTTGATGTTATTATTATTGTATATAAGTGTGGCTAATAAACATTATCACCTTCAACTTAATATTGTTCCAAATATATTTGGGACTATGTCTCTGATTATATTTTTAACAATCCATGAACGCTACAAAGTTTCTGAAGATCTGAATTCCTTTTGACTAGAACGAAGATTTTCCTAAGAAACATCCCCATATATACTACATAATAAAAACAAATTCTGAACCTAATTGCTCCTCTTTTATCTCTAAAAAGGCATCGGCATTTGTCTAAGCAGATTTTCCCACTACTTCGAATACCTAAGTCACTCTTTCGAAAGTTCAAACATTTTTTTCCATGCACATTGAACATTTTATTATACCCTCCACCATACTATGGAGGGTATATTAATTTTGTCATTCCGTTTGTAACTCCTCGAAATATTCATGTCAGACCCAACAAAGTATATATATTCTTGATCAGCGTAAAATTCTAAGACGATTTAGCCATGTCCGTCTGTCTGTCTGTGTGTCTGTCTGTCCGTCTGTCTGTCTGTTGTATTCACGCTATCTTTCGAACAAATTGAGATAGAAGGCTAAAATTTTGCACACATGTATATTTTGCCAGTAGGCTAAGTTCTTAAAGGTTAAGTTCTTAAATGGGCCATGTAGGTCCAAGTTATCATATAGCCCCCATATAACGGTACCTCCCGATATTCGGTATTTTGATGATTTTAGCGACATTATTCACCGGAATTATTTCAAATTTGGCATTTGAAGTTCGTAATAGATACTACAGCCTAAGACAGAAAATTATCTGTGCAGGTCCACGTCTTCGTGTAGCCCCCATATAATGGTACCCCCCGATATTCGGTTTTTTGATGATTTTAGCGACATTGTTTACCGGAATCGTTTCAAATTTGGCATTTGAAGTTCGTAATAGATACTACAGCCTAAGACAGAAAATTATCTGTGCAGGTCTACGCCTTCATATAGCCCCCATATAACGGCACCCCCCGATATTCGGTATTTTGATGATTTTAGCGACATTGTTTACCGGAATCGTTTCAAATTTGGTATTTGAAGTTCGTAATGGATACTTCAGCCATGCCAGAAAATTGTATAAGCATTCGGTATTTTTAAGATTTTAAAAGAATTTTTAACGGGTTTTATTTTTTGGAAATTGCCACATTTTTACCAAATGGTGGAGGGTATTAAAAGTTCGGCCCGGCCGAACTTACAGCATTTTTACTTGTTTTTATTTCATCTCATATCTTCATTTCGCATAGTCCGCAAAATTTTTATCTTGGCTTTTGATCGACCCCACGGTATCATATAAATCTTCGTAGAATTTGCACGTAGAATTTCATGCCCTATGTCGTGTTATTTAATGCAATATTTGAAAATTTGGATTCCTCTCTATGATTTCCTGTATTTCCGATATTTGACTATATTCAGCAACGAAATCAGCATCAATGCAAAGATCAGAGATGCGTTTTTAAATAGTTGTGATTTCTTTAATTTTATTGTTTTTTTTTTTTTTTTTTTGACACAAAATTGTAGTCTATTTACAGTCATTGTAGTCCATTTACACAAAATTGTAGTCCATTTACCATCAATCACGGGTCACCATCCAAAATGGTAGGCTTCAGCGCTTTTCTAAACTCTACCCTCATAAAAAATGCCATGTCTATTGGTCTTTAGTTGAAAACTTCTAATCGCTGCAATATCCAGACAATTTTAAGATTTTTTGTCCATTTTAAAGCCAATTTCGTGAAGATTGGACTATAATTTTTATCTGAATATAATACCCCCAACACATTGTGTTGCAAGGTGAAAAAATATTTTAAAATGTACAATTTAATATTGTTAGTCATGGTAGAATAATACATGTAACAGCAAGTGTTGTTGTACAACAAATGTAAAAACATACAAATTTGTTTTTGTACGTAATACAAGTGTCAGAGTTGTACGTCCAACAATTAGTTTACAATAATTTATAATAATAATTTAATTTCGAAAATGTATATTTTTGGAATTTGGATTTTTTTAATTAAAAAACGACAAAAATATGACAAACCAAGTATGAAAAGGCTATAGTCGTGCGGGACAGACCATGTTATAACCCACAATATTACAATATGTTCGAAGTCCCCTTATGTCCAAATCCATTTTGGAAGATTTTGCTTTTGAAATAATGTCAAAGAGCCCTGCTTAGATTTTACCCTTAGGTTTTTGACCCGGGGAATTTGGCCAATATTTACGCAATCCGTCGTGTTGGTAGGTGTTCAAAAAAAAAAAAAAAAAAAAAAAAAAAAAAAACACAAATTTAGTGGTCTATTTTACAGCTAATCTAACCCAATGGTCTTCAAAAATGCTAGACTTCTTCCCTTGTCCGCAGCAACTGCAAAATCAGGAAATTTTTCTGTTTTTGGTCCATTTCAACCACTAAAATTTTTGGCAATCATCTCCAAAAACAATAGAGTTCTATTTTGACACTAACCCCACCTCCATTTTGAATTTGGTGAGGATCAGGCCATAATTGACAAATTAACATGGACAGACGGACGGACGGCGAGATAGGAAATGCCATATATAGGTTCCTATGTGGGGGAGCAATATTTCGAGGTGGATCATAATTGTGGCCTATAGAGCAACTGCAAAATCAGGAAAAATTTTTGTTTTTGGTCCATTTCAACCCCTAAATATTTTTCTATTTTGACACTAACCCTACTTCCATTTTGAATTTTGTGAGGATCGGGCCATAATTGTGACCTGTAGCTTAATAAATTAAAATGGACAGACGGACGGATGGACATATATAGCTAGATCGAATTCAACTCGTCGAGATAGGAAGTTCCATATATAGGTTCCTATGTGGGGGGAAAAATGTTTCGAGGTGTTACATAATTTTGGCCCAACCAAACTTATAATACCCCCCAACACATGGTGTTGTAGGGTATAAAAATATATTGCAGAAAAATATTTAGAACTTTATTATTTCTAATTATTTTTTATGCGATTTTTCTAGATTTTATCCCTTTTTGACAAGAGGCCATTTTGAATTTGTGACAATTATGAAAATCTCACCAGCCGTTCTTGAGTTACAAGCATTCTACCTAACATCCCCTTTTTTGATATATGAGATTGTACTAACTATGCGACAAATGGGATATCAGCATCAATTAAACGGTCATAAGTGACATTTTCGTGATTTGGTGATCTCGATGGAATTAAAAAATATTTGCGGTTTAATGGAGTTTTTCGTATTTTTTACATAACAGTTATGTCCTGTTTCACCCGTTAAATATTATTTGATTTCGATCCAATTACAACTGCAAAATCAGGATTTTTTCAGCTTCGGGTCCATTTGAATCCCTAAATATTTTTCGATCGTCTCCAAAACAATATGATTCCATTCTGACCCTAAACCCACCTCCATGCAATTTGTGAGAATCGGACTTTATTACAAATCATCCAAGATATAATACAAAAAAAAAAAAAAATAATATGGATTTTCTCTTGATATAAATTAGTTGAAATATTATGACAAAATATATACATATTCCAGCCAAAAAAAGTAAAATTTTCATATAAAAGTATGGGTGAAAATGCAATGATGAAGTATTGAAGAAAAATGTCGTTGCAAAGCATTGGTGATACTGTCAGTAGGGAAAATGGTATAATTTAGTGTTGATGAATAAGTTTGTCATGCTTGCATAAAAATCATTGGTGATTCATGCACGGAGTTATATACAATTCATCATTTTGTTGACACTATACAATGCCCTCAACATGAAGAAGTTGCATACAATTCTGATAAAATATACATCGATATGAGATTGAGCAACATAATTCATTTCAATTCAATTGGTTCTGAACCTTCTAGTGGTTAATATAGGTCAATCGAATAATATACTCCAATATTCCATTTTAGGAGTTTCAAGACATTCTGTAATCGAATTGGCTGCAATTTGATATTTACGATTGTAAACAAGAAAAAACTACCACTGAATCATTGGTTAATTGTAATTTTTAAAATCCCCTATATATAATCGCAACTCCTGATTTTATTTTTCTAAGGTATGACCACCATTTTCAATCAATACTTTGAATGCTTGTCTTAGAAGTACAGGGTTGCCCATATTCGACGGACCCATCTGGCAACGCCATAACTTTTGACAGAGATGTCACATCGCTTAATGACATACCGCGTTTGAAGCGTCAGCCCAAGCAGATTTTTACCATGAAACAATACACGCCACGCGTGCGCTCTGAAATAGTTGAAATTTACATTCAACAGAAGAAGTCAATTTTGAAAACTCAACGTGCTTTTAAAAAAATAAAAAATGTGAGAAGTGCGCCTTCTAAGAACACCATTAAGCGTTTATATAAACAATTTTCGACTGGTAAGGCTCTTTCTAATCCGAAGAGCCTATATAAAAGTCGACCAAGGCGATCGGCCGAGAATATCGCTGCCGTTCGAGCCAGTGTTCAGAGGTCCCCAAGAACATACCAAAACGCCGTTCTCAGCAGTTGGGCATGGCTCGGTCCACTTTACAACGGATTATTCACATTGATTTGCATTTGTTCCCGTACAAAATTCAATTGACGCAAAGAATGTTGCCTGCGGACAAGCCTCGTCGATTGGAATGGGCCCAAAAAAACATGGGTCCGTCGAATAAGTGCAACCCTGTACTGTAAGGAGTGGACCAATATGGTTCATTTTTGCTGTTTATTTCACAGTTTATAGGAGTCATGTTTATTCAAAATGTTGACCTTTTGTGGGTTATTTATCAGAAGAAGTGGGCCGATTTACCTATACTAATTTTTTCAATCGATTTTTTTATAATTTAGTTTTTTCAAAATCCTTGCAGCAGATTAGGTAAAATTGTTAAAATTATTTTTTTTTCTTTTTTACGTCTTGACATTTTTGAATGTTTATTAATGTTTAGTTTAGCATAGACGGTGAAACAAGACTGTTGCTTTTCTCAATAAAAAGTAAAATTGTGTGTTATTATTGTTATCCTAATTGTTAATTGTTTTGTATCTTTGTAGTTTTTTCCCTGAAGATGACTGTCGAAGACAGTCGAAATATCGGAAAATAAAAAAAAAATCAAAATTATAAAAATAAAACACTGATGTTTTTAAATTGACCTTAAGCCAAAATAAAGTTAATAAAAATTTTTTTACCACAACTGCTGCTGTCGTCTTCGTTTGAATTTCTTCTTGTCCGAATAGATTAAAAATTGTTATGCGGAATAAATGGAAATTCTAGTTCTAAATTTGTATATGTATCATTAAACCTGATCCATTCAATTTAGAGATTATTGTTTAAATTTTAATTATTGTATTATTTATTTAAAAGCTTTGTTTTAGATGTTCCAAGAAACGAAAACGTTCTTAAAAGTGAAAGTCATGCGGTTCTTTTATTGCCCATATATAAAAAGTGGCTATGGCTAATTTGGCTAGTTCCGTTTGGATTTGTGGCTTTTTCGTTAAGCATTTTTAAAACATCCGTTTAGAAGTCGAAATCGGAATTTTTTTTATTAAAACATTTTAGGACTTCATTATGAAAATGAGGCAATAAAAATGTTTGTAATTTACTTTGCTGCAAAATATCATTATTTTTCATTCACAAAATATAATAGAAATTTGTAAAAAAAGGGGAACTTGTTGTCCATGTTTCCAGAAAATTCCATTTCATAATAGATGATATCCAATATTTATTTGCTATATCTTTCAAACCAGTCACTTTCCATTTTTCAATAGTTTTTCGGTTTTCAAATCATTTTCTCTCATTAACATTTATTCACTAATCTAATGTAATACAATTTACATATATGATTTTTTATTTGCCACACTTTCATTAACACTTACTATAAATGCACGCATTTTGTAATCTTTTTCTAATTTTCCGTTGAAATATTTAAATTTTCGAAACTCCGATTTGAAGTAACACAATTTGACTCAATTCGAAATGTGTCAACGCAACCTCCACTCTTCGGATGGCTGTGTATCACGACTGACAATCAAAAAACAACTAAATGCTAATCAAAAATAGTACAATGCTTTATAAACAAATCTGAAATGCAGGCGAGAGGGTTGACTTCTTCGGCGATCACTGGCTGATCAGTGGCTAATACAAATGACCGCAACACCACAAATACGCACCTTTTTGTGACTGGCCAATAAATGAGGTGAGACGCTGAAGAAGCTGATGATGTAGACAGCGAAGACGCTTTAAAATTTATGATCATAATGAAGATGAAGTTGTTGTGCTCCATAAAAACACAAGAAGGAGAGAAGGTGGTGCACACAAAATTAACCACAAAAGACATAGTCATGCCCTCACCGAATATTTTTTCGAATGTAAAATTGATGTTTTATTCACTTTTGAAGAAGAGCGTAATGCTGCAAATGACGATGATGATAGTGAGCAAAGTAAATTGGTTGTTTGGTAATGTTTTTCTTTTTAGTGAGCGGATTCATGATAAGATTTTAAGATTTTTTGGAGACCTTGTACGTATTGAAAAGATGTTGCCAGATTATTGAAATAAGTTGATTTTGGTCAAAATCGACCAGATTTCTTGTAATGAATATAGTAATAACATATTTGTATTAAAAATGAAAAAATATTCTTGACAAGTGGTTAAAAAGATGGAACATAAAAATAAATTCTGAAAAGCCAAGCCATATAACTTTTTGCTCTATGAAGAGGGGAATGTTCGTCAGTAAATATTAACAAAGTGGTAATTCCTAGCAAAAAATGCTGTGAAGTACTTGGGTATGTTGTTAGATCGTCGACTAACCTGGAAACCGCACATAAGCACTAAACACACAGCAATAAAAATCAAAAGTCGTAAGCTTTACTGGCTATTAGGTCCAAAGTCCAACCTAAACCTTAATAATAACTTACGTGTTCTATTCTTAAACCAGTGTGAACGTACGGAATACAATTATGGGTTACATCTTGTAAGTCAAAAATTAATATCATCCAAAGATTCCAATCGAAGATGTTAAGGATCATAACTAACGCTCCATGGCTTGTTAGAAAAAGTACAATTTCCAGAAGCCTTAAACTACCTTCAGTTGAAGAAGAAATAAAGCAGCAGTTACGAAGAAGGTTGCAGGATCATCCGAGACCTCTAGTAACGTCACTAATGGTAAACCCGAATGAAATAAGAGGACTTAAAAGGAACCTTATTAAGAGGCAATACCCAAAACTGGGGAATATTGTAAATTTTAAAATTGGAAAATTAGATCAAATTGAATAATATTAATAATAATAACAATAATAATAAGAACAATAATATTTTATCACAAAGCTATATTGAAGACAAGAAAATATTTATAAATATACATATCAGGATTCAATATTCGAACGTGTCTGGAAATATCAGTAAGGTCGGTTTGGAAGTGTTAACAAAATGGAAAAATTCATTAGAACGCTCAAAAATCCATGAGGTTTGGGCTGATATTACAAATTTGGTGCACAATAACCGAGAAATCGAATAAGAATATATGTGGGAGCTACATCTAAATCTGAACCGGTCTTGACAGAATTTTGGGACAGATATCTGGTACCAATTGGGACTTTAACATCAGATTGGATGAAACATATACAGGGTGAGATAAGAAAAACTGCAACAAAGTCAAACGACATAATTTTAATTTTTTTTTTTTTTAATTTTGTGTTTTGTGTGGAAATAGCATCACATTTTAGAATAAGTTTAGATTTGTTCGAATTAGTCACCTTTGGCACGAAATATGGCCTTCAAACGGCCAATGAAACCGTCACACGCCTCCCGAATGTTGCTCTGCGGTATTTTGGCCCATTCCCGGCAAAGCGCTTTCTTGAAGTGATCGACACTTTGCTATTTTTAAATGCCCACCTTGCTTTCCAAAATACTCCAGACACAATAGTCCAACGGATTGGTATCCGCAGATTTTGGTGGCCATAGTCATCCTATAAAGCCAAGCTTTTTGTCAAATAACATGGATTTTGATAGAGGGTTATCATAAAATCTACTCAGAATTTCATACTGATCACGATGTTATTTACGGGACCATCGTCGAATATTTGAAGGTGTTACAAAAGCAATGACAAATTTAATATAACAAGTAAAAAAAGTTGTAAGTTGGGTCGGGCCGAACTTTGAATACCATCCACCATTTGGAAGGAATTTGGCAATATTCAAAAAAAAAAAAATCTTTTAAAATCTTAAATACACCGAATATAATCATATAATAAATGTAGCGTTTATATTATACGACAATGTGGGCCTGCATATGCAACTTTTGTCATAAACCTTTACAAAATATACGAAGACGTGGACCTGCACAGACAATTCTCTGTCATAGGCTGTAGTATCCATTACGAACTTCAATTCAATTACGGTGAATAATGTCGCTAAAATCAACAAAGTACCGAATATCAAATTTTAACCCTTCTAAGGCCGCACCAAGTTTGTAACCCCTAGAAATAATTATGGAAGATCAAAAGTATATATGCATAAAAAATTGTCGTTTTGGCTAAGTCTGTGGAAATCATAGAACAAAAACAAAATGAAGCAGACGTACAAAATTTCACTAAAATATGTTTAAGTTTTAAAATAGCCTCAATACTACAGTACAGTTTGACTTAGCATATATTTCAAAATAATGCAGGCAGGTCAAGTTCGAAGTATCGATCTTATGATCCCCTCCGATATTCGGTATTGTAACCATATTTTTCGATAGAATTGTCTGAAAAACCACAGACAATTCTTTTTACCCTCTGGTTTACGATATCGCCTATTGCCTACATCTTCGTACAGCCCCCAATGTAACGGCTATATTCGGTATTTTTAAGATTATAACAGAATTTTTAAGGAGGGTATTTAAATTTTATCCCGGCCGAACTTTTTGCTTTCTTACTTGCTTTATATTCATAGTCTAATATATCATATGCACTTAAGTAACGGTTTCCAAAATATTATATTTATTATATATTATATTACATTTAAGCCTAAGTGAATATTTGACGAAAATATGAAGTAATTTTTATATGTCAACGATTAAAACTCATCACAATGGCCTTGAAAGTTCACATCTTTGTTGAGTTCAATATTAACGCAATATGTGGTAATATTCGTATGGTGCCCTAAGTAAAATACATGTCATTACTTTAGGGTACCATACATTCGCTTTTTAACAAGAAAATTGCTCGATTATGTAAATTAATTGATAAGATTACATTCATGCAATATATTTAATCACCATGTATGATTGGTAAGATAACGACTACCAACCACGCAAACATGTGTTTGTCTGCATTGTGTTGCATGCTGCGTGTTTGGGCGCCACATTAAATGAAGCGGCATTTAAACTTGTTCGGTTAATTGCTTTTTACGCAGCATCAAAAGGTTGCTGCTTTAATTCGATTGTCAAAATAACAACCATACACATCAAAATATTGGGTCAAATTTGGAAGTATGTGTGTAGCATATTGGAAGTATGTATGTATATAGAAATCCCATCTTATTCTTATACTTACATTGAGATGGATGAAAGTGACTTTAAAATATTTTAATATACAAATTTAATATATTAAAATTATTTATTTAATATGTTCAAAGTCTTGACATAAAGATAAAAATAAAATACTGCCAGCTCTGCACTACCGATATTAAATATGAAATCTGTCCCAATATTTTTTCCACATTTTATGCCAATAAACCCCAATGTGCGATCCTCGATATACATTTTGGACGACGACACTGAAATATGATTAAAGTTATTTTAATCGCGGAAGATTAATGTCATGTTTACATAACTGATTTATGTTATAAATTTAAATTGATATTTCAAAATTGGCTTCAGACATGAAGGGCGACAATGCACGTTCGTAAATAATGGTAATAATTCACTAATATAAATTACACTGTACAGCACAAATATAAATACAGAGAAAGACTTAAGATTCCTCGGAATCCGTTAATTTAATGTATACAGTGTCTTCGACAATATTACAGATTAAATACGAGGAATTGTTGGTCCCTTAACCTTAAACGAAATAAAAAGGAGTCTTTTTGGTACTTTTTTCAAAATAAGACTAAAGTAACCTTTTAACGGGATCGTCAAAATTATAAAAAAATACTTGTCATAAAATTCTACTATAGGTCCCAGAAGACGTCAAAAGTCCAAATGTTACCTAAACACCAGGTATTATTTGATCATGAATCCCAAAAAAAAAAAAAAAAAAAAATCGAATATATATTAGAACTATAGCAAAAAGTGGACCCGCACTGAATATATTTTCGAGTAGCAAACTACCCACGGATAACTCGAGGTATAAACTAATAGTTGATTTGGTGAGAAAGCTGACCGAAACTTTTAAATTACTGAACATTTCGAGATACCATAAAATGATGGGCAAAACCTGGATCGATATATTACAATTTCGATGTCAAACATTATCTATGCCAATATAAATGTGTTTTTTCATTTGGAAGTTTCTAATAGGAGACAAGTCGGTCCACGTTTTTGTATAGCAACCATATAACGGAACCTCCCATTTTCTAAGGAAATTATTTATCATTTCGTATTTAGAGATCGTAAAGGGTTCTACCTCCCATGTCAGTACTTTGTCCACTAGGTCCACGTTTCATATGGCTTCCATATACAAAGTCTCCATGTATTCAAAATTTGTTATATCCGCAGCTATATGGCTAAGGATGGTATACAAGGTGAGATACAAAAAAACTGCAACAAAGTCAAACACCTTCATTTTTACTTTTTTTAATTTTATTGCATAAAATTTTAGAATAAGTTTAGATTTGTTCGAATTGGTCACGGAATCATGACCTCCAAACGGCCAATGAAACCGTCACACGCTGCCTGAATGTTGCTCTGCGGTATTTTGGCCCATTCCCGGCGAAGCGCTTGCTTGAGGTGATCGACACTTTGGTACTTTTTAATGTCAACTTTGCTTTCAAAAATACTCCAGATACAATAGTCTAACGGGTTGGTATCCGGAGATTTTGGTGGCCATTTTGCGCTGGAAATTAAGCGATTAATCTCATTTTGTAACCATTCTTGGTGCTGAGTCCTCCTGGAATGTCCAAGGTCTGCGGCCAAAATGTTTGTGTGCCCAAGGCTTTAATACACCCTCCAGAATATTTTCGCAATAATATTCGGCATTTATTCTGATGCCACGGTCGATTAATATGAGCGGAGAGCGACCATCGGCTGTTGTTGCGGCCCACACCATCACCATGGCCGGCGCTTGAGTTCTGGTGGCCAACCGAATGTGCACGTTTTCAGCTGACCTCTTTGACAAGAAAACACGATAATTTCGTTTATTTACAAACCACTGGACAACGAATGTTTTCTCATCGGAGAAAACCAAATTCGGCAGAGTTGACGAGTGAAGCC